GGGGGGGGGGGGGCGACTGCTAATGGTTTCCTTTCAGGGTAATGAAAATGTTCTAGAATTAGGTGGTGGTGATGGTTGCACAACTGTGAATGCACTAAAAATCACTGAATTGTGCGCTTTAAAGGGGTGAACTTTATGGTATGTGACTGAGAAGAAATGGCACAGGACAAGCAGGCAGGGCCACCCACAGAGGGCCCCCTCCCATCTCAGGGCCTTGCTCTTACCAGCGTCCAGAGCACAGGGAAGACTCGGGGCGCGCGCACGATGAGCAGCCGGCCCAGCGTCTCCGGGTAGTTGTCCTCGACCACCTCGATCATCCGCAGGAGGGCCTTCACCCCCGGCCGCCACAGGTGCCGCATGTTGAGCCCTTCCAGGTCCACCAGGCAGGTCCAGGAGCTGTGGTAGACACGGTCCCCCTCACTCCACCTTGTTCTGCCGCTTCTCAGGGCCCCCAACACCCCCTTGCAGGGACCCAGGGGCTGACAGGGACGGACAGAGAGGCTCAGTGAGGCAGGGCTGGGAGCAAAGGGGCAGGAGCCATAGGCCACTCTTGGATCCTGCCACCATGGCCCGGTAGCAAAGAGGCTCAGAGCGTGGACTCTGAGGCTGAGCACCTGAATTCAAGTGTCACCTTCACCCTTGAGCTGTGTGACATGGGCAACTTCCTCCTGACATCAGGACAGTGGCAATGACAGTAACAGTCCTCAGCTTAAGCAACTGTTGTTAGGGTTAAATGAGATGATATATGTAAAGATCTCTGCAAGGACAGGCACATAGCACCCACTCAGGAAAAGCTAGTTATTACTACTGATTGTTGAAAAGACGCTGATGATGAAACAGAGTGTAATGCTAAGAGCGCACACTCCCAGGTTCAAATCCCAGCTTTGCCACCTGCTGTGTGGCCTTGACCAAGTTACTTAACCTCTCTGTGCCTCCATTTCATAAGTACTAATTCATTAGGGAAATGACCATTTGAGTGCTGTGCTCGTCCCTGGGAGCCCCTCTATCCCAGCTTCCTTCCCTTCACCCTGCCGTACCTCCGTCACACCCTGTGACACCGTCACCTGAGCCATCTGAGATGAATTCTGCCTCTGGCCAGGACCCCTAATTGACTGATTCCCCACCTCATCCCAGTATATATCTCCTTAGGAAAGCACCAAACAGCAAAAGAACGTAATTTTCACAAAGGTCAGGATAATTTGGGAAAAACCTTAGCAGCAGGTCCTGTCTGTTCTTCCTTCCTAGGCTGTGATAAGAATGTTGAGCCCTTCCAGGGTGCTGAGTCAAGGTGCTGAGAAAAGTACCTGCTACATGGGAAGCTCTAGATACATGCATGTTTGCATTAACTCTTTTTAAATATATGTTTTTTATTGATTTGAGAGAGGGAGAGAGAGAGAAACATCAATGAGAGAGAAACATTGATCGGTTGCCTCCTGCACACCCCCCAGTGGGTACTGAGCCCGCAACCCCGGCACATGCCCTGACCAACAAGGAATCCAGCTGGTGACCTCTTGGTGCATGAGACGACACCTAACCAACTGAGCCACACTGGGCAGGGCTGCATCATCCCGTAATAAGGAAACCTCAGATCCAGTGATACTAGTCCCAGTTTACAGAAGGGAGAGGTTCAGGGTCTTCGTGGGCGACACCACTGTGAGTATTGGTGTGGGAAACAGTTCGGGCATGGAGGTCGGGGGAGTCGGAGAGGAACAGTGGGTTACCAGATGTGTCAGAACAGCTGTGAGTCTGCAAACCTGGGAGACACAGTCAAGGTGGAACTTGGGGTGGGAAGTGGTCCCAAAAAGCAAAGGCCAAGAGGATGTATGGCATGAGCCTGACCAGACAGGAACAGGTTCAAACCCCAGCTCTGCCACTTACCCACTTAGCCCTTGGGAGAGCATCACTACTCTGAGCCTCAGTTTCCCCTCCGTAAAGAACAGGGACGATCCTGTCCCTGCCTCACGGGGTCATTGTGAGAACCAGGTGAGGCCACTTCTGTGAAGCGCCATGCTTAGTGAACCTGGGCTGTTTTTACTGTTCTGGGAATGTGTCCCTGGCGGGGCTCTTGCCTGATGGGACGGCCAAACTGCCTGGTGTTCCCTTCACACCTCTTCTGTCCTTCCTCGTTGACGGAAAGAACCTGGAAGGCAGAGAACGTGCTGGAAGACATGCGCCTGGCTGCTCACCGCAGGCAGCCCCGGGGCTCCAGGGAAGGGGCCCCCACTCACATGCTGCAGCAGCGCCTCCTCCCCCACGGCCTTCATCAAGCCCTTGGTGTCCATGTGGCCCAGGCGCAGGACGTACAGGGGGCGGCCATCTGTGCAAGGAGAGGGGACGCAGTTTAGGGAAGGCTGGTGAGAGGGCAGGTCAAAGCCAGGATGCGAACTTACCCTCCCGAGAAGGCACCAGGCTGTGGCCACCGAGGCCCAGCCACCCTCAGTTACTAACTCCCTGCCGGTTCCCACGCGGGGCCCATACCGATTACGGCGAAAGGAATAGCGCAAGTGTTAAAAACACGGGTTTACACCGGAAAGGAACCGGTGAGGGGCATATGGGAACCCTCTGTGTGATCTTAGCAACTATTCTGAAAACCCAAAACTGTTCTAACATTAAAACTTTAGTTTAAAAACTTTTTTTTAAAAAAAGGAGATGAACTATAATGAAGGAGCATGGAGAGAATAGATAAAAGCTGGCTATTAGCTTTCTGTCCGCTGAAGCCAAAAGGAAAAATATGGAATTATATACAAATACAGACCCACTGCTTCTAGGAAAACACAGGCTTAGGTTCCTACCAGCCTCTAGTCAGAACATTTTGCTCAACAGATCAATACGTAACCTTGTTTTCTGTGTTTCTATCTAAGGACACCTCATTTAGCACACACTGTTGATTCAGTGACATTGGACTCACAGCCAGCAGCACTGTAGTGCACGTCTGAACGAAGCTGATCCAACACGCACATTTGCTTTGGAAGGCACATCGCAGCTGTCTTGCACTTAGAAACACAAGACAGCACCTCTGCACTGTGCTTGGGGGCCACTGTAAACTGCAAAATCACAACCAGAAGCACAAAAATGCAAAAACGTGGCACTAAGTAGACTGCAAAGGGGATGCTTGTTAAGAGTACAGGAGCTGGGGCAGGAAGCGCAAAGAAGCCTCGCTCGACCTCAGCCAGGGACGTGCAGGTTGGGCGGCTCAGATTTTTTTGCCGCTCTGTACATGTCCGGGAATGACCACAAAAGCTTCCTGAGTATTGATTGAGGGCTATAAATAAACGTTAGTGGGTAGACAAATTCACAGCTATGCAGAACATGACTAGTGAGGACCGCTGTATATTGAAAGACAGTGTCCCAGCCAGTTCTTCCCGAGAGTCAACCATTTGCTCTAATCAACATACTGCGGACCATTGAACAGCAAGGTTCGAACTGCAAGGGTCCATTTATAAGTGAATTTTTTTTCAATAAATATACAGTCAGCCCTCCATATCCCTGCATATTACATCCATGAATTCAAACAACAGATCAATGGTCTGCCACTGGGAATCGGCGGATGCAGAGGGCCGACTGTATGCACTGTTCTACACAATTTACGTGAGGGACTTGAGCATCTGTGAATTCTGGTATCCCCAGAGGGTCCTGGGACCAATCCTCTGCAGATACCAAAGGATGGATGTAGTTAAGTTTTGGGGGAGTCAAAAGTTACACGTGGATTTTCGACTGCATGAGAGGGTTGGCACCTCTAACCCCCGCATTGTTCAAAGGTCAACTGTACGTGAATTTTTATATAAAGAACATTGAAAATCATAATAGATATTGGCTTCAATGGCAGTTTAATTTTAAAAATCCAAATATATGTATAGTGGGTTGAATAACATCCTCCCACCCCCCAAAATTCACATCCACTCATAATCTCAGAATGTGGCCTTATTTGGAACCAGGGTCTTTGCAGGTGTAATTAGTTAAGGATCCAGATGAGATCACACTGGATCAGTGTGGGCCCTACATCCAATGACCGGGGGTCTCGATAAGAAGAGGAGACACAGAGGATGCACAGAGAGGAAAGCCATGTGAAGGCAGAGGCAGACACTAGAGTGACGCTGCCAAGCCAAGCAACACCTGGGCCGCCAGAAATTCTAAGAGATCCAAAAAGATTCTCCCCTACTGCCTGCAGAGGGGTCACGGCCTGCGGACACCTTGATTTCAGACTTCCAGCCTCCAGAGCTGGAAGGTAAATTTCTGCTGTTTTAAGCCACCAGTTTGAGGCCATTTGCTCTGGCAGCCCCAGGATGCTATTTGCCTCAAGCCCAGCTCTGCCTTCTTCATGGCTGGTCTGTCATCTCCAGATGCCCAGCAGAGTCAAAGGAAATCTAAGCATGAAAAGTGGTGGCCACAGTGCATTCGGCAGGGACCAACATGGGCACTATCCGCCTGTAGGTCAGGGAACGCACCTATGTCCTGGTAGTGCCAGCCCCCCGCATAGAACTCCTCCAGGAGGGCAGGGGGCTGCCAGGTCTGAAGGAGGAGGTCCACCTGGTGCTGCTTTCGCCAGCTCAGGGACTGGCACAGCATTTCCCGGGCCTTGTCCAGGTGGAAGTCACGAGCCCGCAGGAACCGAAGGATGTGCTGATCTTTGGGAATCTGAGAGAAGAAAGAGTAACCCAGAGAATGGTACTCCCTCACCCAGGAGACAGACTTATGGAAAATTAACCTCCTGTCTCATCTAGAAACACTGAGCTGGGGAAAGGACCATATGCATCCAAAGCCAAGGATCGCTAGAAGCTACCAGAAGCCAGGAGAGAGACATAGAACAGATCCTCCCCCAGAGCTTGCAGAAGGAACTGGCCCTGCTCTCACCTTGATCTCAGACATCTGGCCTCCAGAACTGGGAGAGAATAAATTTCTGTTGTTTTAAGCCACCCAATCTATGGCATTTTAATTCAGCAGCCCCAGGAAATGAATACACCCTCTTAACAGTTTGTCATATGAGCCAATAAATCATACCCCCCCTTTTTTTGCCTTCTTCAAGCTGCATTCCTGCCACACATAACCCAAAGAGTCTAAGAGTGAGGTGACAAGCTAAGGCCTCACCAGCTCTCCTTCCTTCCCAGGGCAAATGCCAACAATCAAGGGAAAGCCAGCCTTGCAGGTGTGGCTCAGCGGTTAATGGTCGACCCAGAAACCAGGGGATCTTGGTTCGATTCCCTGTCAGGGCACATGCCCAGGTTGTGGGCTCAATCCCCAGTAGGGGGCATGCAGGAAGCAACCAATCAATTATTGATGTTTCTATCTCTCTCCACCCCTCCCTCCCTCTTTCTGAAATCATTAAAAAAAAAAAAAAAAAA